GAGTAGCTGGGATTGCAGGCATGCACTGTCACTCCCGGCTTATGTTTTTTTTCTTTTTTTGGATTTTTAGTAGAGACAGGGTCTCACCATGTTGGCCAGGCTGGTCTTGAAACTCCTGACCTCGAGTGATCCACCCGCCTCTGCCTCCTAAAGCGCTGGGATTACAGGTATGAGCTACCACGCCCAGCCCGCTCAATCTTTTATAATGAGGATACACTATGATAAGAAATAATGGATTTTTTAAAAATGAGTATGGTAGTAAACACTAGAAGAATTAAAAACAAATGACCCAACGTTGTAATTTCTGAGAATAAGTCTGAGGTTTGGATTGGAATTAGGGAAGAGACTAAAGAAGTTTTAAGTGGTTTTTTTTTTTTTTGTCGTTTTTTGTTTTTTATCAGTTTTGTACCTGTACGTGGTCAGGAAGCCAAATAATTCTACAAATTCCCAGGGGCATTTACTTATTTTTGAATGATTCTTTTGGTGTTTACCTCCATATCTCTAGATAACATTATTATATTACTACCTCTTACTTGTTGACATCCCACTTACAGAAGAGAGCATAGCTGTCTCCCACCAATATCGCACAAATACGCTTCCAGATCCCCCAACTTCCCTGTGTAATTTGCCATATCAGTATCTTTTAAGATATGTCTTTCAGATTAGTCTGATTCCTCAGAGGAGGTTTTCCCAATGTAAACCTCTACTCTTATGAGTTGGAGACAGTATCTAGGGAACTGCATTTTTTGAAGTGGACTTTTAACCAATTAGCCTGGCAAGGAGACTTTTAAAAATAGTTGTAACATGTGGTTTGATTTTCTTTTTTTTTCTTTAGATGGATTCTTGCACTGTCGCCCAGGCTGGAGTGCAGTGGTGCGATCTCAGCGCACTGCATCCTGTACCTCCCAGGCTCAAGTGATTCACCTGCCTCAGCCTCCCGAGTAGCTGGGATTACAGGCGCCTGCCACCACGCCCGGCTACTTTTTTGTATTTTTAGTAGAGACTAAAATTTCACTATGTTGGCCAGACTGATCTTGAACTCCTGACCTTGTGATCTACCTGCCTCAGCTTCCCAAAGTGCTGTGATTACAGGCGTGAGACACTGCACTCAGCTGGTTTGACTTTTTTAAAACCATGTCTTGTAATACTTTCATAATAGCAATCTTATTTCTTAAAATATCAAATCCCTGTTGTGGAACTTGATTAATATTTATTTAAATATATGCTTATCACCATTTACATTTTTGTCTTTTCACTGTACCTCTAATATGTTTTACAGCAGTTTCAGTTGCCTAAAAAACAAAAGCTTTGTTGTTTGTTTGGTAAAGTTTTTTTAACTTTGTTGAAACACCTTATTTTATTTACTGCTTGGTAAATAAGGGTCGATTGGGTACATGTTCATATGCTGTGTTGACCTGTAAATGGTTTTATAATCTGTTTTTATAAACTCTTAGAAATAATCTTTTTCGTAAGTCTTAGAAATTCAAACTGGGGTACCCATAATATGAACCTCTTTTTAAAAAAGATTGTATTCATTATTTATAATCAATAATCCTTAAATTTTGTGAGATTTATGACTACATTGACTAGATAATATTGGGGTACATATGGCTTTTCTATGGTATGAAAAATACTGAGTAGGTACTCACCTGAAAAGTTTCTCAGGGACTTACTTATAAACTAGGGAATAATGTGCATTTGTGGAATGTTTCTGGAACAATGTAATATGTCAGCTTTTCTATGAACTTTGAGGATAAGCATGATTTGGATTCTTAGAATAGAAAAGACAGGCTGATGATTAGGGAGAGAAAACATGTGTCTGTTCATGTCTAGCTTACACTCAGCAACAGGTAGAGGTGTGACTTTTAAAAGCCCTGAGCTAATTGTACTTTCCAGTCACCAAAAGTTTTATAGGAATATGTGATACTAGCATATGCAAAAACCCACATCCTGTTTTACTGCTCCATCAGGAAGACTTAGTTCACTTGTTAGGGCATTGCTCCGGTGGATCATCAAGATTGTAAGTGTTTAGGATACTGTTTTGGACTATGTTCAGAAATTCATTAGCTAATAGTCACAAATGTTTTTTACACTTTCTCATGGTTTACTTGCAACTTTAGCTTACAAGGAACCTCTCAAGAACATGAATCCTTTTGATGCATCAAACCATGGATTAAAACATATAGATAGCCTAATTGAGTTGCACTGCTCATTTTTAATAAAATGGCTTTTATGTTAGAATTGGGTTAGAAATAAGTCTGTGTCGTAAAGATAAAATTTTCCAGAATAGTCTTGTGTAGGCAATCTCATTTAGTTCTATGTGTCTTATCAATGTTCAACAGAAAGATCTATGAGAATTACCTATATGTACTTTGATGGAAAAGGCAGGAAGGAAGGTGCTCTTTAGCATTTGAAGCTAGTATGAATTTAAAGCATGGAACTATTTGTTCTGGATTGCCTGGGTTTCAAAGGTTTTAGTTCAGCACTGCCCAGTAGGGCTTTCTGTAGTGAAAGAAATACTCATACTATGCTGTGTAACGTGTAGCTACAGTGGCTGATGGGAGTGAAGAAGTGAATATTTAATTTTAGGTAATTTAAATTTAAATAATCATATGTAGAGAGTGAGTGCTTAGATAGTGCCGTGTCTAGTAGTATCAAGAAACTGAGGGAAAACAAAAGCAATAAAAAGCACTGCATTAAACTAAATAGGACTTCTGACCCAAATTAGTTTGCTTGGCACAGCTTATAGGCTCTTTACCCTTAATTTGCATCTTTTACTATAATGTCACATATATCTAACGTCTTCATTTCTGAGCCTTACTAGCTTTTTTTACTAGAATAGTAAGTTCACAGCTTACACTAGAACTGACACTATTTTGATGTCTCTGGTTGATGCCTCCTATCTTCACCTCAACTTTCTTTTTTCGTCTAACTCCAGTACTTTCCACCAGTGAGAAAGGACTCTCATTTGCCCATTGCCCAGTACATTTTTTTTCCATTTGAGAAACTCCTCTAAATTTTTCTAAACTCACAATTATTAAGGCATTTGTTCAATTTACCGCCAAAAAAGCCCATACTTCTAAGGGTGTTTTCAAGTGACCCACTGGCACTGTTATACTCTATATCTAGAATCTTATTGGTATTTAAAAATTGCAACTTTACCTTGAAAGTACCAGACATGATTCTTTTTCAAAGAAGAGGTTTTGCAAAAATTTCTTCTTTTAATTCAAAATATTAAAACATTAATATTTAAAAATTTTTTTCTCCGAGTTTATAAACTTCTATTCTCATGTAGCGCAGTTCATCCAGTTTGTGTCTTCAAGCAGAGTAGACTTTTTCCCGCAAAGTCACCTGAATTTTGAGCCCTTTGATCTCACAGATGAAATCCCTGTTTCGTCCGTGAAACCCTGTCTCTACAAAAAGTACGAATAATTAGCCAGGCATGGTGGCACACACCTGTAGTCCCAGCTGCTCGGGAGCCTGAGATAGGAGGATCGCTTGAGCCTGGGAGGCAGAGGGTGCAGTGAGCCAAGATCACACCACTGCACTCCAGCCAGGGCAACAGAGTGTGACGAGCTATCGTCCTGCATAAGGCATGCCCAGGTAAGATAGAAAATGTTTTAAAACATTGTTACAACTAAGTACCCCCTTTCTAAGTTGTAGTTAGTGAGTGAGTTAGTGAGTTAGTGGACTTTTTTCTTTTCTTTTCTTTTCTTTTTTTTAAAGACAGGGTCTCCCTATATTGCCCAGGCTGGTCTTGAACTCCTGGCCTCAAGAGATCCTCCTGCCTCGGCCTCCCAAAGTGCTCAGATTACAGGCATGAGCCACTGTGCCAGTCCCAGGAAACTCTGATACTGTGGTTTGGATGCTTCATCTTCTTTCAAGGTGAATATTCAGCTTCTCTATATGTACTAAACTCTGTAATGTGTATGACTTTCTAAAAACCATAACACTCAGGGATTCACATGTAGCTATACTTTTAATACTACTGCAGATTACATAGAATGATATTGCACCCCCAGATTTACCCATAAATGGAGTAATTCATCTTGAATTTTAGACTGTAGTTCTTAACAGGAAATCTAATATATCAAAATTTAAATGGTTTATCATATACAGTGTACTGAGCATAGCTGTCAACATATCACATGAAATGAAGAAAGATATAAGCATTCCTTTAGATATTTTCTCTAAACCTGCTTTTAAAGACTTTTAGTACTAGTTCAGTACAACAAAAATCTTAAACCTTATAATAATTAGTTCTTTGTAGATGGTAGTAATATGAGTTGGTCTGCATTACCAAGAAACTATTACAAGGAGATCAAAGGGAGATTTTTTTCCCCAGTAAATTGTTATTACATCAAAAATTGACAGGAGTCATGTCAGTAATTTCTTACGTTAGAAGAGAGGAAGGAGATACAGTAGGTCATTCTATTTAGGGACTTTTTTTTTTAACATTTGTCTTCCTGTTTTGCTGAGAAAGAATCAGTTATTCATCTTTTTTCTTTGTCATTGAGGAGGAAAACGTTACCAGGAGAAGCAGATTCTTAAATTATTATTTCATTACAATTTTAGGAAATTGCTTTTGCTGTAAGTCAAGAAACTGTTGAATACCCTGCCAAAAGGAAAACCTTAAATTTCACAATGGGCCATCTGTTTAACATTGAGGTGACCCTGTTTTTTTTGTTTTTCTTTTTTTTTTGAAACAGAGTCTTGTCACCCAGGCTGGAGTGCAGTGGTGCAATCTCGGCTCACTGCAACCTCTGCTTCCTGGGTTCACGCCATTCTCCTGCCTCAGCCTCCCGAGTAGCTGGGATGACAGGTGCATGCCACCACGCCCAGCTAATTTTTGTATTAATTATTATTATTTGTTTTAGTAGAGATGGGATTTCACCGTGTTGGCCAGGCTGGTCTTGAACTACTGACCTCAACTGATCCTCCTGCATTGGCCTCCCAAAGTGCTGGGATTACAGGCGTGAGCCACCGTTCCCCTCCTGACCTTTCATTTTGTGTATTTATTTCAAGAGGGGCAAGAGTCCCTCCTCCCTAGAGTAGGGTCCTTTTCTGTGTTTCATAACACATTGAATGATTTGAGTAACTTGGAAGGCTTTTTCCACCTGCCCCCACTTAGGTTCACAGATTTTTATTTGACTGCTTCTCTTTCACCCCTATATGAAAAAGCTTCCTTTTTGCCCCCATGATAAACCTAAGTAATAGTAACAAAACATTTTTGCATTCTTTCTTGACATGTAAATTTAGTGAATTTCTTTCTTTTGTAGGAGCTTCTTGGGTGTAGAGAGTTGAATCCGTCTTAATAAATTACTAACTCATTCATTTAAAAAATATTGGAAACCCTACTATATGTCAAGTATTCTGCTTGATACTAGATGTCCAGTTGTAAACAAGCAGATGTGATTATTGCCCTCTGGAATTTCTAATCTAGTTCATGGCACATTATCACCATCACTCTATCAGCATAGGCCCTGCTCTTGTTTTACTTAATTTCAATTTTTTTTCCTCCAACCCCATCCCCTTCCGTAAGCATATACTCTGACATACATACCCTTAGAAATGTATTTGTCTGTTTTGTTTATGTCTGTTTTGCATGTATGTTAATGGTATTATAGATCTGTTTGTACCTTACCTTTCTCACCCAGTACCGTTATATTTAATCCCTAGTCACCAGTCATTGCTTCTGACTGTGTTAATTTTCCATTATATGCATCCAACACATGCTTACTCATTTCCCCAGGTATGGAACCTATATTGCATCTCAGGCCCTGACATAATAATACTTGAGATACACCTTAAGGACCTGTGTAAGTATTTCTTTGTAGCACTTACCCAAGAGAGAGATTCTGGGTCATTGGTAAACACAATGGCTTACCAGGCAGTTTACAGAGATTCCCATTTTCCCTGTTCTCACCAGCACTTGATAATACTCAGCTTTCTATTTTTTTCTTTTAGTTTTGATATATTATTTCTTGATTTCTCTGATAGTTGGTGAGGTTGAGCCTTTTTTCGTATACTTGTTAGCCATGTGAATTGCCTGTTCCTATCTTTTGCCCATTGTTCTTGAGTTACCCAATTTTTTCTTGTTTTTGCTGAAGTTCCCTACATTTTAAATATTCTGACAGTTTGGGATGATCAAATCATCCAACAAAGGAAACTGTTCAATTACACGTCAAATTTCATTTGGGCTGTGAATGGAGATTGAATGAAAATATCCTTTTACTAGTGCTTGCGGTCAATCTTAATAGACATTTTCATGGTAACTTCCCTTTATTAATATAAAATTCGACAGTACCATAGACACTCAAATATTTTAAGGTATAAGTCAGTGTTTTATTGTTGTTTGTTTTGTTTTGTTTGTTTTGAGACATTTGGCTCCGCCCCTGTCCCCAAGACTGGAGTGCCATGGCAACAGTCTCAGCTCAGGCACACCTCTCACGCCTCCCAGGGTTCAAACGATTCTCCTGCTCAGCCTCTGAGTAAGCTGGATTATAGGCATGCACTCATCCACGCCCGTGCTAATTTTTGCTTTTTTTTTTTTTTTTTTTTGGGACGGAGTCTCGCTCTGTCCCCAGTACTGAGTGCAGTGGCGCAATCTCGCTCACTGCAAGCTCCACCTCCCGGTTCCATTCTCCTGCCTCAGCAT